TGCACCACCATTAACCTCCTTCTGATTTGAGCACCGTGCCCTCTTACCACCTGATGCCTAGCTGATTAAACTGAAATGAAGCAGCGATCAATCAATCAAAAAAAACATCCTTTCACAGTTGCTGTGTGCTTACCTACACAGTGCTGGAAGATAGGAGGGCATAAAAGTAGGTTACGCTTCCTTGTACTTTGAGAATTTAGCATTTAGTTCTACGAGCTCAATAGTGAGACACTATAGTAGATTATAACTTTAGTTTTAAACAACAGGGATAAGAGCTTGTGTCTGGGAAGAAAAGTGGACTCAGATATATTTCCAGTAAATCACCATTTAAACGGAAAACAACATGAGCAAAAATAGAGAGGAGGTTGAGGTTTTCAGGGGACTTAGAAGAGTATGTAACCATGAAAGTTCCATTTGGATGGGCAAGACAAGGAGATGGAATCGATTGATTCACTTTTCAAATTCACTACGTTGTGTGGGGTTTCTGTAGTGCGTTCTCTACTATGAAACACAGAATAGAAGTGAATACCTATCAGGAAAAGGCACAGAACTATTCAGATAGAAACATCCAGAGTTTAGGTAAAGTCAGATGACAAAATCTTACAGTTTCAAGTTTCTGAAAGTTTGAACAGGACAGATAATCACTGAAGTACCGTCTAAGTAAGTTTTGATAAAAGACCTCATGTTTCTTTCCTTTATAAATTTACTACATTGGTTTCAAAACACATGTCATCCCTTAAGAGTCTTTCCCATAAACAGCTGCTGAGTTAATTATTCTGAAACGTAACTCTTGGAAACAAGTGACTTCTACTGAGCATATATTTGAAGGGGCAGTCTCTGAACATCTCAGACATCATATATTTTGATTCCAGCTGACTCTACTTATTTTGCCACCAAATCACTCTTTTCTTAGCAGTACCTTGTGTTCTATGACTTCATGTGTTTCCATCAGCAATAAACTACTAAATCTCCATGGGAAATTTATGGACTTATATTTGTCTCTCAGCTTAGCGACACTTCTTCATGACTCAGCTGGAAATAACCTCTCTGTGCTCTGAAGTTCACCTTCTCCAATACACAGGTGACATTTATAATTACTTATATTGAATTCAGTATCACACGATGTACATTTCTTTATAGATTCTCAGAGTCTTTGAGTGGCTAGAGGACAGTACACACACCCTTAGTAGTAAACATGTAAGGATTTTGTGAGAATAAGGGTCTGTCAGGAGGGGCATGCAAAAATCTTAGTAACGAAGAAACATACAAGTGAAGCTGAGTAGTTTGTCAGACAATTGGAGGGGTCAAAAGTCCAGGGACTTGAAAACGGGCATGAGAAATCGAAAAATTTCCCAGTGTCCAGCAATGCTACTAATTTCTAGATTTGCCAAAATGCTATTTCAGTAGAGAAAGGACAACTGAACCTTGAAAGGACATGATGTCATCTCTTGTCTGAACTAATAAGATGTGGAAATGGAAAATTAAAGTTAAGTTTATTTTGGACACGTGTACATGTATATGCATGTAGCTTTGATTTTGCCATGTCAGGCAAAATTGGCATTTGAGCTGGACAATTTAATTTATTAAAAAGTAATCTCCCTGTCGTATCCAGGGTGACTGCATAATGAACTCTGCAATCTCCTCTTTTTCTTTGTACTAAGGGAACATACAACATGATGAACTGATCAATGAAGATGAGGGATTTTGAGAAGTAGGAGTGATGAAATTTTCTACAAGGCATTCATCCCCATGCCAAGCATACAGTAGCCACACCCAATTTCAGACCTTTAATTTAGTGGAACAAGCAGGAAGATATTTTTCAACTCCAAACTGCTTGTCTTCAGCTGACTTTGTAACTCAGTTTTCTTTGTATAAAACCCACATTACGTTTAAAAATTGAAACATTCCATCCATTTGGATAAATATGAATTATCAGCCCTGGAAGCTTTCATTATGTCAGGCAAAATATTTAATCTCCCTGGGCTTTGGCTAATTCACAAATAATAGAGATGGTCACTAATACTTGCTGCAGGATAGTGAAGGCCCAGAAAGGAAAGGGTTTCCTTTCTTCCACAACCTCCCGTGTAGATAAGGGTACTTCAAGAAGTAGATCGAGCAGCAACATTCCTACCGAATCACTGATTTGTGCAGTCTCTTTCCATTTAGAAAATACCAGATGTGTACAACCTCTTTTTGTGGTTTCTAAGACCAAGTGAAGAAAAATTTTCTGACCTAATTGCTGTTTTCTTTTCATATAATTGTTGAAAAACCCAAGATTAAACTTCGCAATGATTGCAAGAGGCCATTCCATATCCAGCTCAGTCTTCACATGCATTTTCAGTATGGTCTTTCATTCTCCTTTAACTAGGAATAATCAGACGGTCTCTTTGGACTCTTTTGATAGTGTTTTGGAGATAAAATTTCACTCAAGTAGAATACCTGCATCATCTTCATCACCTGAATTTATTTATGTGAGGTGTATACTTATCAACTGAAGTTGACTAAGTCTAAACACTATGCTGTCATTTATTCATAATTGTTAGGACACTAGTTCCTCTTATCCTGTTTTATGTTCTCTAGTCTTTGTTAACTGTTGTCTTGGTTACCAGTGACCAACTGAAGGCTTGAAATACTGAATGGAAAATTCCGGAAGAAAGCAATTCATAAATGTAAAAATGAATACTGTTCTGACTGGTGAAATGAATTATTGCTCACTTTACTCTGTTTCCCAGGGGATGTGGCTCACTCTACTGCCCATTATATCCACGTAGTTCATGTAGTCTGCTTCTCAGTCACTGGCTTGGTGATCAGATGCACTTCTGTATCTATGCCCCACCATGAATTCATTCAAGTTACTCTGGTGAAGAAGTCCAACACTATATCACAACACCTGCACCCTTCATTTCTCTTTATTGCATCGTGGAGGGAATATCGTTGCATATCACAACAAAAAGCATATATATATATATATACATATATATATATATATAATACTTTGAGACAAAGGGACCAGATTCATACAGTTTTAACTATAATCATTTCATTATTAACCATTGTTGTTGTTATTGCTTTACTATAAGCATGTACACACAGGAAAACATAGCATTTATGGAGCTCAGTGCTTTCAGGAATCCTCTGGGGTCTTAGAACACACCCCTGGTGGACGAGGGATCTGCTCCTTTTAAAAACTGCTTTGTGGTTTGTGGTGATATATTATTTATGATTTAACAAAGATTGCCAGAAGTATCAGAATGCAAAGCCAGCCACATTAGTTAGCTATAGAAGCTAGGCAGTAGTGGTATACACCTTTAACCCAAGGACTCAGGTGACAGAGGTAGACAGATTTCTGTTAGTTCAAGGCCACATAGAGCTACATGAATTGATCCAGTCTAGAAGAGAAACAGAGCTCACACAAAGGAGGTCTCATCACTTGGAATCCCATGCCTTTAATCCCAGGATTTGAGAGGTATAAAAGAAGCAAGGGATCTCATGTAAGATTTATTCTCTAGCCATGCTGAGGACAGGACAGCCCTTTCACCCTGAGGTAGAGGTAAGAGTTAGTGGCCAGCTGCTTTGCTTCTCTGATCTTCCACCTTGAACACCAATATCTATCTCTGGGTTTTTACTATTCATGTTACAGTGGTTTTCAGAAATAGAGAATAATAATCAAGGAGGCATATGGGATCATTTCACACATGCACACATAAATGCCACTGGTTAAAATGTTTTCAAAATAACTAGTTAGTATCTGTGGCTTGATTATACATCTTAACCAGTGCAGGAGGCTAGCCCAAGTGACAGTTCTACTTGCTTTCTTGTCCTCAAGTTCTTTGTCTCAGTGGTAATGGTCTGGTCTTTTACTCATCTCTCCATACATTTCTGAAAGAAGCCTGTGCTGGATGGTATGTCTTTCAGATTCCTGTAGAATTGTCTAGCACGCAAGTTTCATCTCCATGGGCTCAGACAAGGAGTGCATTTTTGTGTTTGCAGTTTAGGTACTGACTAACTGCAGACTAAAAACTATCTTCCATTTGTTTTTATTGTGATTGGCTCTCTCTCTCTCTCTTTCTCTCTCTCTCTTTCTCTCGCTGTTTGTGTGTGTGATGCTTCTGTGATATACATTTTCAATGGCTGTTTGTACACTACTTATTAGTTAACAAAACTAAATTGAAAACTTGCATGTGGCAGCTGTGGGCTGATGACATTTCAAAGGTAAGAGTCAAATAACTAGTGTGCTATCGATTCACTGATATATCAAATACTACCAAGTCCTTTTCACATGCCACTTTATCTACTTCTTTGCCTTTAATTTTCTTTGTGTCGCCTTCTGTGTCCCACCCTTTGTCACTTGACTTCCTTATATGTTTACATGTTTTCTTCTTCCTTCCTGTTTCTCCTTTCTTTTTCTCCTGTTCCCACCTCCATTCTTTTTTTTACAGCCTTTTTGCCTTTTTTTGTTTATTCATTTTGTATGTCAATGACAGTCCCCCCTCCCTCTCCTCCTTACTTTCCTCCCACCTCCCCCCAATCCCACCATATGGGATGGGCTTCAAAAAGCCAGTTCATTCACTAGGGATAGATCCTGGTCCCACTGCCAGTGGTACAACAAACAGACCAGTCTACAAAACTGTCACCCATATGCAAAGTTTCAGTCCCATGCAGGCTCCCCAGCTGTAGGTCTAGAGTCAGTGAGCTCCCACAAGTTCAGGTCCATCTCTGTGGGTTTCCCTGGTCACAGTCTTGACCACCCTTGCTCATATAACACCTCCTCTCTCTCCATATGGATCGCCCAGGGAAGGAGATGAACTCTCCTGGATAAACTGGAGGCTGGAAGGGAATGGAAAGGGGAGGGGTGTGGGATGGGAACAGGCCATGCTATGGGAGTCCACCCCCATTCTTGCTGTTGATTTTTCCTATTTCTTTTCTTTTCTCCCTCCCTACTCATGTGTTTGCTCTTCTGACATCACACCCATGGGATCACACGCACGACCCTTCCTTACCGGGATGAAGATGTAGGCTCAGTGGTTTGTCTTTGCACACGAGCATGTTTAATTAAATGCTCCTTTAAAGCGGTCTGTACTTCAGCTGGGATATCAGGGGAAGTGTGGCTGATTTTTATTGCAGGCTCAATAGCTTTTGGCGCTGGCTTTTCATTTTCTTCAACTTCTTTTTTCTCTTCAGTCTCAAAAACTTCAGTTGGAGCACTTGAAATGCTCTGTGGAAGGGCACTGACATTGGGAGCCACAAGCTTGCTCTTCCAGCATGGCCAGCACAGCTTCCAGAAGACGAAAAGGGAGACAACCAACAAGGCTAGGCCACAGAAGCTCACGACAACTGCCAACAGGCTGACTGAGATATCTGGAAAAATAATCACAACCGAAAGAAATATCAATAGACATTGTAAGGAAGAAGCAGAAATGTGATATAAGTGGAAAATTATCTACTGGATTCAGGGAACACTCGACATATGCATGTTATACCTGAATATACCACAAGGGATTCAAGATTTTTCAAGTGAAGGCGGCTAACATGCCTCCTGCTGCAAAGCCAGAAAGCTAAACTCTGAAGTTGTTTATAATAGACACTATTTGCTTCCTCTTTTATCTAATGAGCTCCTCCTTTTCCTTTCTATGCAGGGAACAGCATTAAATGCTAACACCGTGCTATGAGAACACAACAAGGCTTTCAAGCTCAGTGTTTTTTAATAATTTGTATGTATGCAGTTTTAAGTTAGTTTGCAGACAATTTTAAATCCTGAGTTAATAAATGAATTGTGCTCTTATCTGAATGTCTGTGTCCTCCTAAATTTATGCTAATCCTAAATCCCAAGGCAGGCTTTGTCATTAGGATGTGATGGTTAACTTAAATTACCTTGCCTAAATTTAGATTATAAGGCACACTCCTGGTCATGTCTATGGACATTTCTGGAGAGGGCTAACTGGAGGGTGGGGATGGAGGGGATAAACTACCTAGAATGTAAATGACACCACAGTATTGTCTAGAGACGTAAAAGAAAAAACAGGAAAGAAAAAGAAAATCAAGTGAGATTTGACATTCTTATTCTCTGTTTCTTGCCCCGTCATGATGAACTGAAACAACACAAAGTAAACCATTCCTTTCCTCAAGTTGTCCTCTCAGATATTATATACACAAGAATGCAATGAGTGGGAGCGCATAGAAGATACCGCCTCTGGGGAGGGGACTAGGTCATGAAGGGAGAGCCTTCATGAATGGGATTATAGTGCCCTTTAAGATAGGTCCACAGAAGCTGTTTTGTCCTTCTACCACATGAGGTTACAGAAAGTAGTTGCCAACTATGAACCAAGAATAAAGCTCAACTACAATGTGTTTCCTCCAAAGTGCATGGACTAGAACTTTAGTTCTTCAATGCCAGTGCTAGAAGACAGGACCTTGTGGGAAGTGTGCAGGTGAGAAGGATGGAGCCTTCGGGAATGGCTCCACTATAATACCAGATTTTTACCTCTTTGAGGACTAGACTAGTGGGTTTGAGAGAGGATTTTTTTTTTTGGTTTTTCCAGACAGGGTTTCTCTGTGGCTTTGAAGACTGGGGTCTGGAACTAGTTTTTGTAGACCAGGCTGGTCTCGAATTCACAGAGATCCGCCTACCTCTACCTCCCGAGTGCTGGAATTAAAGGCGTGCACCGCCACTGCCCGACTGAGAGAGGATTTTTTAAAATAGCAAGGTTGCTCCTTGCTTTGCATCTTTAAATGTCTGTTATGAGCCAGAGAGGCAAGAGGCCCTCACTAGGGGGAGGTAGACTTACCAGCCTCTAGAATGATGAGTCAAAATGAATCTCTTACCTTCACATGTTATCCAGTCTTAGGTTGAAAGAAAACAAAGACATGCTCCCACAAGCTACTGAATCTGCCAGTAACTTAATCTTGAACTTCCCAGCCTGCAGACTCTGAGAAACAAATTTCTGTTCTTTATATACTGCCCAGTTAATACTGTTTGGCAGCAGCAATATGAATAGGTTAAAATATTGTTATTCAGGAATTTAAAAACATCCACATTAAAATAATTATAGTATGAATATATATGCTTATCATGTAAAATGCTAGAAAGAAATACAGTTTAAAGCTTGAGGCTGAATAAACAGATGAATGGGAAATTTTTTTTAAAGTTCCCTTTAGAAGAATTCTAAGCAATTTATTTATACAGTATACTTTCCGGGAGAAGGCATGACTCCTTACTGTATACTTTCATGATGACCTTCCCTCCAAGAGTACTACTGACAATGAGGGTGATGACCTGTAGTCATAGTATGCAACCTTGACATGGAATAATGTAAGTAGTCATCATGCCTCATACCAATAGCGCAAGTCTAGTAATGGTTAAAAAAGAAATCAGACAAGTTCTGAGAAATAGACATTCTGAAAACACCTAACCAGGACTCCTGTCAATATCATCAGCAAAAGTTCTGGGAAAACATGCCAGTCAAAGAGATCTAAGCAGACTTCACCAAATGTTGCAAATCATCCTGGATAGGGTCCTAGAATAGTTAAAGGGCATTAGCCAAAAGTGAAGGAAAGCTCAAAGAAAAAGGTATGTGCTGTAGTTAACCTCCCAGTACCAACGTATGAGTAATAACAAATGTGTCATTTCAATGTAAGGCATAAATATGAGGAGAAACTGGACATGGATATGATGGGAGTCTGTACTAGGTTGTTTTCCTGCAAGTCTTACACTGTTAGAAAACATGAAGTCTAAACAAATACAAATTAACCTTCCCATTACTAATTTTTGTCTTTCCTAAGTGACCCAAATTAGCCATATGGCATATAGCATTATTAAAATTTTGAATGTCAAATAGATTCTCAATAAAGGACAGTTTTTCTAGATTTGATTAACCTTATACTTTTCTATTACCAAATTTGCTTACCCTCAATATAAAATATGAATCCAATTTCCACTGTTTTAAATAAAAATGCTAGGAATATATCACAAACTGATAGTGTCTATCTCTTATCCCTTTCAAAATGTATCTCTTGATGTAATAACAGTCAATACTTCAAAATATGATGCTATTTGAGAAAAGCGACTTTAATTAATTATGGTAAATTCGAATAATACAAACCAGTTTTACTCCATTGGCTGGAGCTTAGAGAGGAGAAGAGATGAGGATACAGATAGATACTGATAGAAAAAGCACATGAAGACATAGTGTTAGTGATAGTGACAGTGGTGGTCACCCTGGCTGTCTTAGTAGGGGTTTCTATTGAAGCAACAAAATACCATGACCAAAAATTTTAGTTAGGCATGAAAGGGTTTATTCACCTATTCTGTATCACTTTTCATCATCAAAGGAAATCAGGCTAGGAACTCAAGCAAGGAGGAACCTGGAGGCAGGAGCTGATGCAGAGGCCATAGAAGGGTGCTGCTTTCTGGCTTGCTCCCCATGGCTTGCTCAGTCTGCTTTCTTAGGGAACCCAGGACCACCTGCCCAGGGGTGTCCCCATCCACAATAGGCTGGGTCCTCCCATCAATCACCAATTAAGAAAATGCCCTCCAGGCTGACTCACAGCCCAGTCTTATGGAGGTATTTTCTCAGCTGCGGCTCCCTTCTTTCAGATGACTACAGTTTGTGTCAGGCTGACATAAATCTAGCCATTACACTGGTCAAGGACAGCAGCCTCAGAGAACTCAACCCTGCCGATACATCAACCTTAGACTCTAGTTGCCTTGATGGAGAAGTAAATTCCTATTCTTTAGGCCATTCATTCTAGAGTATATTTTTATGATAGTCCCAGTACAACAATGCTGAATAATTCCAAATTCTTTTAAACATGGTTGTGTATACAATTAGGTCACATTCTTTGGAATTAACCACTGATACTAACTGAATATGCATATCTAAGCCTGTCACTTATAGACAAAATATATCTTATAAAGTCTTAAATATTTACGATTACATAGTATTTTAATATAAATTGTTTACTGTATAATTCTTCCTTCCATTTGCTTTCCCCCCAGTAATGGGTTATAATTTCATGTTGATATAATTTTCTATAATCTTTCATCATAACAGATATGTAGCTTAAGCCCAATTTGGGAGTGTAACACAGTCACACTGAGCATCTTTGTATTTTTCTCCTTGTAAGAATATTTGTGACTGCTGGGCGGTGGTGGCGCACGCCTTTAATCCCAGCACTCGGGAGGCAGAGGCAGGCAGATCTCTGTGAGTTCGAGGCCGGGCTGGACCGACAGCCTCCAAAACAATACAGAGAAACCCTGTCTCGAAAAACCAAAAAAAAAAAAAAAAAAAAAAAAAAAGAATATTTGTGACTGATTTTCTAAAACAAAGGTCTCAAAATAGAATTGCCGAGGAATGGATTATACCCATACTCAGTTTTACTAGATATTTTAATAGTCCCAAAATGAGTCCCACATTTGTGAAAGAGACACCATTTAGGTTTATAGGTTTCTACAATTTTAACGAAATATTCTCTTAATTTTTGCTAATCTTCCAAAGCTTTGCTTTTTTCTGACTGTAATGGGAGACCATTCTGAAATTAATGATTTTCCATTTTTCTCTACTACCTATTTAAGAAAATAGAATGTCTCTGGCATGCTGTGATATGCATTAAAATTTCTCTTAATTTTCCTTATGCTGCTAGAATGACTGCTGAATGCTTCCTATTTGTAGCCTTTTGATAAGGAAGACTTTATTTTACATTTTAGAGTTTACTTTTTTAAACTGTTGTTTTACTTATTATCACCATAACTTGAGGAAAAGAGAAAAACATATGAGATTAATGTGCATATTTACAAGATGGATAAAGATAAATGACATGTCTGCTATGCTTCTAAAATATTTCCCAAGGTTCTTATCTTGGAAACGTTATCACAGAATCAGCAGGGCTGCAAAGTGGGACCCAATAAGAGGTGCCACAGCTGCCGAAGGCTCTAGTTACGTAGTGGATTGATGTCGTTCCAAGAGTGGTTAGTAACTGCAGGGTAATTGTTAGAGTCGCAAATTCTGGCCCAGCATGAAGGCCCTTAATACCAGACTTACTAGCTTTATAACCATGAACAACGTCTTTATTTATCAACTATGCAATCTGTGTTACTATTGGAGTAACATAAAAACAGACCCAATTCAGTGTCTTCACGTATTTTCTGTACCATTTACCTTACATTATTTAAAACATATATATTACTTTAAATATGTATGTTTCTTTAAAATTAAAGTTTTCAATAAGTTATTCTAACAAAGTTGAGGGCAAGAACCAAGAGTTTTCAGTGACCTTTTGGGTACAGGTTTGAGTGGAAAATCCTTTAATAGCACTATCCCAAAGAAATGTCTTTGGCACTCAAAGTACTCCATTTAGTTCGG